GATTGAGGAGCTGAATGTTGACTCAGCAGTTCCATGCTGCTTGTAGACCATAGTATAGGGGAGTACCCCTTTACTCAAGCAGTTACTTACAGGACTTCAAAGAACCTTTAAGATTCAAGGGTTTCTTTACTTGTCAGTCTAGCAAACATTACTGCTTTGGATACTTTAAAATTGTATATAATGCTCCTATTTGATGATGATGATGATGACGTGGGACCAGACCCTGTGCTTGAATTTGTTTAAGCAAAGGCATTTGCTTAAACAGTGGCAGTTACTGAAGTTTGTATTTTGATATTCCTGTAATGGAACAATTGGTTAGCTGATGTCAGCCAAATGGAAGTTTCTTGCATGTATTTTAGAAGGATTTTACCCTTCTTCTGCTCCCTACAGTCAAAATAAGAACCTGTTTCTTCAGGTTTTGGGGTGAAGTATCAAACTAAAGCAGCTGTACTAGCTTGTTCTAAGGAAACTTTCTCTTCCATTGTGTGGCTGGGCCTCAGCACTCTCATTTGGGAAACCTGGCTGTATGTTCCTCACCAGCTGTATAGTTCCATAGGCTTAGGCTTCACAAAATTTCTGAATCAAGAGCTTATAACGAGGTAATGCAATCCTAATTTTGCAATGCCATCTAGAAATTCAGAGAAATTTCTAATACATAGAAAGCGTTACTGTGAAATCCAGTCTTGGTATCATGTTAATATAGTAGTATTTTGTGACTGCCCTGAAAGAGTTTGGTCTTTTTGGAGGCTTTCACAGCCCTCACATGGGAGGCTTTCTTATTCACCATCCTCTCAAGAGAATATAAGATTAATGATTTGTGTCTCCTTATGCTTAGATCTTCTTTCATCCAGCAGATGGAAATGTAATTGGCTTCAGTCTTTAGAGGATAATAGCTTTATCATTTATAAAATGAAATAGAGATGGGTCAGAAGCCATGGACTATGAAGGAAGATTCGTGTACTATTTTTGCTTTAAATACTTCCCAACTTAGTCAAAATTTGTTAGTGATTCTCTCACAGGCTTTTCTGATTTGATCTCAAAGTTGATAGTACTCATGAAGAAATACATTCCCCACTTACTTTGCAGGAGCATCTGCCTAGGTGCTGGAAAAGGTATTACATTATTAGTGTATGATTTTGTTTATAAAATGCAAACCTTAATGTCTTCATTTCTTCTTTTTTAGCCTATTTTAAGTTACGTTCTCTATGCATTGGTGGGTACAGTAGGCTTTGTGACCCATTATGTTCTGCCTCAACTCCGCAAGCAACTTCCTTGGCATTGCTTTTCTCACCCGCTGCTGAAAACCAAGGAATACTATCAGTTTGAAGTTCGAAGTAAGTATCATTCCTGACACGCTTTTGAACTTGCTGTAGTTGCAGACCAACTTGTGTTATCTGTTTATACACTTATTTTCTTGATTATTCTCACCACTGGAGTATTTAATGACATCTGATCTAGAAACGTCTTCGTTTCTCAGCGCCTCATACTTTGATTCTGTGAAGTTTTACATATCTCCTAACTGATTATGATAATGTATTACATGCACTAACACTGTCTCACAGCAGTTGCGTTGAAGCACAGTCTTCAAAGTCTGGAGTGGCAAAGTTTGTGCTAGTGATTAGCTTTAGAAAAATTGAGGCAGAGCGTGTTTCAGTAGGTGTTTCTACAAGATAGTAAGTTGTGCTGTGTTTTGGAGGGTTGGGTATGGTGAATGCTCTCAGAGACTTCATCTCAGAACGGGTTTAATTCTTAATTGTTGCTGTGTTTAACAACAGAACGTAGTGCAAGTGGCCTACTAATGGGAAGACACAAAGGCACCAGTCTTGCTGGTTGATCTGCTCTGCAGATTGTCAGGCACTTGCACCTCATGTCAAAGCCTACATTTCCATGCAATTTTTCCCTGAAAGCTGCAGAAAATACGAAGTTAGTTATACTGTTGATCTGTTTTCCAGTATGAATAAACATAGCAGTGGATTCTCGGGTCTCCACTGTTTAAACATTTTGATTGTTAGTGGCAGACTTAAGAAATTTCTGTCCAAAAAGGCTTAGAAACAACAGAAGCTATTTTATTTTTTTTTCTCTTCCGTTAGTTTTCCAGGTAAGACAGTAATAAAAAGCAAATGAGCACTCTGCTGCTTTCAGGAGCAGAGAATTAGCAGAATTAAATCCTAACCCACCTCTGTAGCACCTATACAGAGTGGTCTTTTCACTGTTGTCCAAATTCTGGGCTTCTTTTCAGTGACTGAATGTAAAGATTGATAAATAATAATTGTAATATGTCAACTCTGTTTGGAGGAAGAATTGAGAAGTGTATTTGTATGCCTTAGGTTTTTAATCCGCAAAACTAGAGAAGCTACATGTGGTGCCCTTTTGCTGATACCTTCAGTATTTCCATATGTAGCAGTGTTTTCAGGAAAGATGAAATTAATATCCAGTAATGCTAAATACAAGTTCATAGCATCTCCCAGTTTGGTCCCTGTAGCTTTTTAAGAGAATTCATGCCATGTCAGTATGTAGAAAGGACATTTTCCTGTTGTAGAAAAGGAACCTCAGTTTTTGCTGGGGCTCATCTGGGCTTGTGCTGTCATTGATGGTAATGAAGAGGGGTGGACCTTTTTCTAGCCTCTCTCAGATGTACTTTTAAACCTTTATGTATGCAGCAATGTCTAACATAACTTGACAAGCTCTTCCAGCCTGTATTTGTACTGCTTGTAAAATAAACTTTCTGTTTATCTTAATTTGCATTGATTTGAAGCATAAATCCTGTTATATTTCCCAGTTATTGTAGAACTTTCAAAGAAGTTCTTAAGTCTCAGACATTTGTGTTGACAAGTCGTGTATATTCCTCTACATTGTAGAGTTGTAAACCAGAAGTCTTTCTGATTGAATATGATTGGAAAACATTCTTTTGCATAAGATAAAATGTGTAATGTCAAACAGCTTCATCAGTATCAATGCTGAATTTACTGAAAAAGTGGCAGCCCACTTTGTTTCCTGCCATGTGCAGTAAGCAAGTAGCTTGCAAGCTGTTGTGTTGTAGTACACTTTGTCTAGGTGTCTAACAGAGCAAAAACTCTACTGGGGCTACTTTATTTAAGAATCTTTATTTTGTTAACTGAGTTTGATTTGACAGTGCAACCTGATTTCTTTTTAATGTCTTGATAGATGCTGCACATGTTATGTGGTTTGAGAAACTTCACATTTGGCTCCTTTTTGTAGAGAAGAATGTTATTTATCCACTGATAGTCCTCAATGAGCTTAGTAGCAGCGCTAAGAATATTGCTAGTCCAAAGAAACTGGATACTGAGTAAGTAGAAAAGGCTATCAAAGAATCTGAGTGTGTCTGCTGTGGTGGGAAATGAAATAGTGAGTTCTGGCCTCAATGGGAAAGCAGTTCCTGCTATTGCCTTAAAAGAAAGGCAAAGAATAAATAAAGTTTTTCTTTATTTGAAAGCTCTTGTAGAACAGAGTCACCTTACTGCCTTAAACTGTATGGAATATTACAGTGTTAGAGTGGGAACCCACACGAAGGGAAATCATTCAATTCATAGCATTATAGTACAAAGATTGCAGGTTGCAGAATTGTCTCATAGTGTGATCTCAGAATTTTACTGTTGATCTCCAGTCTATAATATGATTATCTGGACTGCAAGTTCAAGATAGCAGCAGTGTGCTCAGGTATTTTGTCAGGTGTAAACTTAAGACTCGTGTGATGTTCCCTGAGTTGGTTGTGCCATTTTGCAGCCACTCTGCAGCTTCCTGCTCTCATCAAGGAATTCCCCAGGCCTTCCAGCCCCTAAGTATAATCTGTATCCAGATGGAATTGCACACTGCCTCTTAAATTGAGCCTTAGTTGTAATCCCTTGAGCTGTGTATCTGACTGTCTCAGCAAATGAGAATTCAATAACGGGTCTTGCAATTTTTGCCTTCAAGAACAGAGACTGGGTGGCTTTACTTCTGATTTAGAACAGAAGTTTTGTAGAGAAAGTAAATCTTGAATCAAAATGGAATGTGCATTTCGGGAGGGGAGGGGCAAGTTGCATTTTTTGGGTGTGGGTTTGGTTTTTTAAGTTTCATAATCACTGAATCTCATAAGTGCTTGCTTTGGGTTCATGACTCTTGGGACAAGCTGCCCTTTGGGAGGAAATCTACCATTACATTACTTTAACATTATTTTTGTAACACTTTGGTCTGTCTCCAAAAGAGAATATCACTGAGTTTATAATTCAGTCGTGATTCCCCCGATTTAAGCTAGAGCACCATAGTCATGCAGGAAATAATGACAGTCCGGTGTTCAGTAAAATACTCTTGCTGATTAACCTAGAGCACTTCTAGCATTTTTGCTTCTTAATATTCATAACCTAAATTAAAGGCCAAGTTTCTGTTCAAAGATATTTCAGCTACGATTTAATTACTTCTTTTGCTTAGCAAAAAACTTACAAATAATGCTAATCATTGAACATTGATTGGCTTGAGAATACTCATAGACTGGGATAGTAACCTTAAAAAAAACCCCAAAAAAACAACTTGAAGTTGTCTTAAAAAAACAAACCCACCACCACCAAACCAACCCACCACCGCCCTCCCCTGCTCCGAAAGCAAACTCGCATCTAAACCTTGAAATTGCATGTCAGCAACAATTTAGGTGGTCTTTAAGCCCCTCTCGGACAGCAGATAAGTAACTGTTTTGTGTGGCTTTCTTATACAGGTTGGGTGCTTTAATGATCACAATAGCTGGCCTGAAGTTACTGCGTTCATCATTCAGTAGCCCAACGTGCCAGTACGTCACTGTTATTTTCACAGTGCTCTTCTTTACTTTTGATTACAAAAGTTTTACTGAGACCATGCTGCTAGATCTCTTCTTCATGTCCATACTCTTCAGCAAGGTAACTTTCTCTATTTCTAGGTGTTTCAGGTCATCCAAAAGGGAAAAACAGACAGTCCTAACTGATAAGTAATCTTCCAGATCATCAGTAATCAATATGCTATAAGACAGCTAACACTTCTCCTTCACTTATGTTTGCTTGAGAAAGCATATGTAACTTGCTAAATATCTCATGAGTTTGCTAATAAAACAGTGAAGCACATATTGTGTTACTTGAATCATGATTACATCCTATTTGTAAGTCTCAAGGCTTCTGGTATAGCAGAGAGAACTCTAGGGTGACCAGTAAATTCCTTGGGATGTTTGCGTGCTGCAAAGCACGTTGATTCTCAGCCAAATCACTGATTTTGTTCTTTTTCTCTTTTTTACCTCTGTAGCTTTGGGAACTCTTTTATAAATTGAGGTTTGTATATACCTACATTGCTCCCTGGCAGATCACGTGGGGATCTGCCTTCCATGCTTTTGCCCAGCCCTTTGCTGTGCCACGTATCCTTTGAAAATACAAACCTTTTCCTGAAGCCGCCTATTTATAACTTCTGAATGTTGCATTATAGTGGATTATGTATTATGGGCTAAATCTACTAAATGAACAGGTTTGTCTAGTGAGTATTTGTGAAAGACTGTGCACGCTTTCTGCCTTTGCTACTGTATAGTTCATAGCATATTAACAAAGAGTAGGAATAGAATTCTGATGTAAAAGAAACCTGCAACAGGAGTTTATTTCGTTCCAAAAGTGACACAGCTTTTTCTTCTGACAGTCATTCCTTTTTTCAAGAGTCACTAACTATGGATTTAGTTCTTGAGACTTGGATTTCACTCTTCTGTAGGCTGGTTTGAATGGAGTGTTGAGCTGGTATTCTCTAGAGCTTTGAGAGAGACTACCATGTCTAGTGCCAGAATTTCACTTACTTCTGTTTTTAAAAGCAAACATCATCTCCTTATTGTATTGGATGTACTGTAACGGTACTTTGCTGCATTAAAATTCTTGGAGATCTTGTTTTGCTCTCAGTTGCCGTTGCTGCCTATTTCAGGTACTATCACAGAAGCTTGAAAAGAAAGGAGTTGTTGCTTTTCTTTCCTTAATTCTTTCATGCTGCAGATTCTGCAATGTTGTTTGTCCAAGCAGCTGTGTCAGCTTTCTTCTCTACTCCACTGAATCCTTTTCTGGGAAGTGCAATATTCATCACTTCATATGCCAGGCCTGTCAAATTCTGGGAAAGAGACTACAAGTAGGTGAAATAAGACCTTTAAATTTTGTGTCCTTCATTTTTAATCATGTAACTGTGGCTAAATGTGTTGGTTTGGTTGGGTTTTTTCCCCTCCAAGTGCTGCTATGTATTTCCGTGAGAAAACAACCAGTTTATAGCACTGAAATTTGCAATGGACTTGGTTCTGAAATACCACAGCAGCTGGTTTTGATACTAGCAATATTCACTTTAGTTTCTTAAGTAATTTCTGCTTAGAGGTATGCCATCCTGGTAACTTCTTTAAGCATACAAATTGTGCAATTTTCTTTAGTGAATTTATGTACAAAGAGGTTTTTTGGGGCACTTCATAACTTTATTTTACCTGTGTAATATTGCTTATTTTGCAGATAAAACTGGCTAACTTCAGTATAGACATCTTTAAAGTAAATCTTTTTGCTCAAGGTGGAATCAGTAGTAAAAGACTCTTCATGTGAGATTATACCTCCCTGTGTTTTATTCCTCCAAAGTCCACTGTTACTGGGATGAAATATTAGAGAAACAGCGTAGAGGAAGATGTGCAGATACTTCTGATGCTTACGGAGAATTAATTTCACTGCTTTATTGCTTTTTTTTTCCCTTCTAACACCAGAACAGATCAAATACAGTGTTCCAGACCTTGTGATAAGTGTCAAGGTTGTAACTTCAGCCACGAAATAACAACTTGCTGAAAATTGCCACTAATTGAATGTTAGCTGTACTAATTGAATTGCTTTTATTTTATTTGTCACATCTAAAACTTGATGATGTCTGTTGAAGGAAATATGTACACACATCTAAAGCTGAAGAGTGTTTTGTGGCTACCTGCTTATTAGGTATTGGATCATAATGGTATTACATGCAGGGAATACTTTTACATGTGAGCAGAGCAGCAAGTTTGCATATATAATTGTTTTAAAATAACTTTTGAAACCATTTCAGTGGGAATTCTTGTACATTTTTATTCTGTTAGTAGTTTCTTCCCTTAGATTTTCTTACAATAATGAGTTTTGTGTTAAGTATGCTTTATTTTACTATTTTCAGCACAAAGCGTGTGGATCATTCAAATACAAGACTGGCTTCGCAGCTGGATCGAAATCCAGGTAGCTTTCCTAATCTGACATCATCTTGTTGTTGTTGTTGTTGTTGTTGTTGTTTGGTTGGGGTTTTTTGGTGGGTGGTCGTTTTGGGTGGTTTGGGTTTGGTTTTGGGTTTTTTGGGGGTGGTTGGTGGTGGGGTTTTATTGTGGGTGTTTTGTGGGTTTTTTTGTAGTGGGTTTTTTATTTGCATAGTGGTTTGTTGTTTTCTTGTTCAAATGTAAATGGCTTTCCTAGGATTTTTATAGGATGCATGATCAGTTTGCCCTCTGATCTTCTCCAACCCTGCCCAACCTCTTTGTTGTTCTGTCTGCTGCTGTTTTCTCCTCTCTCATCTCTCTTGCGTTATTCTTTAGACTCTCCTCTAAGTTTGTCTTCTTTCCCCTTTACTTTCCTGTGTGTCTGCTTTACTTCTTTATTTATAATCGTAGTGTGCATTACGCTGTCTTGCTGTTTATTCTTCTTAAGTAATTAAAGCTAAACATTATTTGAGGGTGTCTCAATGTCGTGGTGATGAGACCAGTATAACAGTCATACTGTTATGAATAACTTCTGTGCTCATTTGCTTTTACAATTTCTTACGTGGAATAGATTGATGGGCCATGCGTGAGTTGAGCTGAAAGAATAATTTGGAAAATGGAGGAGTGACTAAGAAGGGAAAAGAGTCTGGTCAAAAATACTAAACGTCACTTAGCATTCATTTGGTGCAGTTCTCTCTTAAAAAAGGCAGGGGCGGGGGAGTGGAGAAGGACCTTGAAAAAAAACATTGCTGTGAAGAAAAGTGTAGAATTCAATCCGTGAAGTGATAATTTACATTCAAGCTTGATGTTTTTCTGCAGATTCAGTTAATAACTCAACTGTAATCTTCCTGCAGGTTCAGATGATAACAACCTGAATTCAATCTTCTATGAACATTTAACCCGTTCCCTTCAGCACAGCCTATGTGGAGACTTGTTGTTGGGTCGGTGGGGAAACTACAGTACTGGGGACTGCTTCATCCTAGCCTCTGACTACCTCAATGCACTAGTACACCTTATAGAGATAGGAAATGGCTTGGTCACCTTCCAGCTGAGGGGGCTTGAATTCAGAGGTGAGTGTGTTACACTTCCTTAACAATCTGTGCTGAAAAGTAGACTTCTGCTTTGGAAACTTATTTATTTTCAGTTCCATCCCGTAAATTAATTGCTTTGAAAGTGGGCAGTAGGGCCTCTTTAAGCACCCATCACTTGTGAGGAGAACTAGCTCGCTCTGGCAGAGTTGATGCCAAGTCTCTCTTTCCATTTTAGCGCAACATGGCTACCATAGTTGAGTCTTAGATAACACCTAACTAAAACGTGATGCTAGAGTGATAAAATTAAACTATCCAAATCTTTTGTGTTCATTGGCAGGTAGTTCACTTGGTGTTACAGAAACACAAGTGGAGATCGGTTGAATTGTAAACACTTTGAAACACGAGTCAACATTAAAGGAATCACATAAAGTGTTCAACTCATTCTTCTTTTCTCTGTTTTCTGCTAAGGAACTTATTGCCAGCAGCGAGAAGTGGAGGCCATCACTGAAGGTGTAGAGGAAGATGAAGGGTTTTGTTGCTGTGAACCAGGTCACCTTCCTCACATGCTTTCCTTTAATGCCGCCTTTGGGCAGCGTTGGCTGGCTTGGGAAGTGCTTGTGACAAAGTATGTTCTGGAGGGTTACAGCATCACTGACAACAGTGCAGCTTCCATGCTTCAAGTCTTTGATCTCCGGAAAATTCTCACCACTTACTATGTGAAGGTATGACTCAAATCAGTACAGCCCTTGAGGGTGAGGTGGTCTGGATTACATCTGGGAACTGCTTAATGTCTTGGAGGTTTAATGACTTTTGTATGAGGATCATTGAATGCGATACAAGTTATAGGTGTATGAACAACTTCATCAAAGGAGGGCAGAGTGTACTGCACTGATCATTACTTGGTACGCTCATACATCAGCAGGACAATGGCCCTAAAGTCTGGAACAGAAAGAAAATGTTTTAGCTGAAGCTGAAGTAGAAACTTTAAGGGCCTTGCCCAAATGTAATAGCTGGACTGTAAATGAAAAGTTAAATAAATAGTGTGTTTCTCTTGAAGAAAGCCAATCTGCTTCAGTGTTCGGAGGCTGTCCAAACCTGTGTGTGTTTGTTTGGGTTTTTACAAACAAAACTCAACCAACCAAAACACCACAAACAAACACAAAAAAACACCCTTCCCCCAAAAAACCCACAAAACCCAAACAAACAAACAACAGCAAAAAAAGCCCTGCAGTTATAAGAGGAACTCTAGGCCTCAGATCCCTTCAGATAAATCAGTTTGCTGCTCGATCTTTCGTAAGCTGCCCTCTTTCAAAGAGTGAACAATTTCAGGTTGAAATATTTCCACAATACATACTTACTTAAACACGCACACACATTATGTTGGTGGGTTTTTCTCCCCCTCAAACTCAAGGGTATTAAACTGTCTTGCCTTTTATTTAGCATTTGAATTCGTTAGAAATTCAATATCTAAGCTTGCACGTTAACGAGATAAAAAATCCTATGTATTTGTGTTTCTGCAAAACTATGGTGAGAGTCCTGTCCTGTCTTTTTTTCTGTTACTTCAGTGCATGCTTCAGAAATCTTGAGAGTCTTTGAAAAATATGCCGCTATGCAAACCTGTATTGTGTTTTCTGTGCCAATCTGTTGCATCTGTAAGCTAAATAAATGCTGCTGTGTATCAGTTTTGCTCATTAGGGGAAAATAATGCAAATGAGTTGGAACAATTGCTATTGCTGACTCTTTTTTTAATTATTTTTTTTATTGCAATGCTGACTCATCCTCTTAACTGCTGCTCTTTCAGGGAATCATCTATTATGTCACCACATCTCCCAAGCTAGAGGAATGGTTAGCTAACGAGACCATGCAGGAAGGGCTGCGGTTGTGCACAGACCGCAATTACGTTGACGTCGACCCAACATTTAACCCCAATATTGATGAAGATTATGACCACCGTCTAGCAGGGATCTCGAGAGAGAGTTTCTGTATGATATATTTGAACTGGATAGAATACTGCTGCTCTCGAAGAGAAAAGGTAAGTACGAATGTGTGAGAAAAGCCATCCGCTGTTCTAGGATGGTCTCTTTATTTTCATCTGTTGGTTTGACTTACAGGCTGCTTTGATAATGGTTTTTAAAAGAGGATTCTAACTGAAATGTCTGTTTATAGTTTACTGGTTTTAGATCATCTGCTCTTGACACGTGAAGTTAAATAAATTCTGTAAGTGGTGTATGATTTAACCTGTTCATTAACACATTTTTGTTTACCAGCTCAGATGAATCAGTTGAATCTTAGGCATTTATATACATACAAAAGAATATGTTTGTGGAATTGATGTTTTGTGCTTAGATGGCAGTACAAATCAACTAACAAAAAACTCCAAAACAAAACCCAAAAAAACCCCAAATACCTGTTGCCAGCTTATAAGACTGACTGCTTGTTTCTTAGTGGTCATGCTCTACTGTTCCACTCCCCCACTGGAATTGTTACCTCCTAAAAAACTATCACCGCATATTGAACCCTTTTCTTCTCTCCAAATCCTTCCACCTTTCAAATGGAAACATTAGTATGTTTGTAGAGGGATGCCTTGACTGGTTACTGTTTACAAAAAAAAAAGTACATGGTCTAATCAAAGTCGTGTTGCCTTTGAGGAAGGATTCATATTGAAAATATGAGCCAGAGTCACTCATGTGGTAGGCATCACAGAGTATGTGTGCCTCTGTAGGTGTCTGGGTCTCTTTGTTCTGGCAGGATGTTTTTCCATGACAATTTCCTTCCTCCATTCACCTGACTATTCCTTTCTCCTTCTGTTACTACAAGCCACTGGATTCGAGTAAAGACTCGCCTCTGGTGACATTATGTTACGGACTGTGTGTTCTAGGGCGGAGAGCACTGGGAACAGCTTCACATCATATGTCTAGGTAAGAAAGTACTGTTGTTGTAAGCCTCCCTTCATCAGAAGCCCTCAGGGTTCCTGAGTTAGGTGTTAGATGAGTACCTCTTCATAAATGGAACAGTTATTTAAGTTAACTGCCCTTAACCTGTACTGTGACTTGTCTTTGTTATAACAGCCAGTGAAACATAACCAAAGAACAGCAAATGAGGGACAACCTGAGTTTGAGCATTTGTTTTATTGCACTAATGCAAAGTTAGAGTTCTGGTGTGGGTAAGCACCTGTGATAACTGATGAAAAAAAACAACTGATTAAGTTCAAAAGTAAGCTCCTTTTCCTGCTCCAAGTATGGGCCCTTTATGCCTTTAAACATGAGGAAGTTGTCAAGATTTTTACTCTGTACCAAAGCATGCACAACTGAAGCTACATGTCCTCCTTAGCTGGTCCATTGTACTGTTACATTCCCTGAAAACCAGTCTTTAAAAATCTTCAGAATGAAGCCAAGCATTCCTCACAGTGTTCCTGTTTGCTTTAGTCCATGTAAATAGCCTGTTGCACGTATGGTTTATTCGTTACCCGTTCAGTGCACATAGACATTCAGTGTCCAGGCTTTGCCTACACACACATCCTTATCGTACGTTCTCCTCTCCCTGTGTTATGCTCTAAGTTATTTTTGTAGAGAAAAATTGTGTGCCTTTCTGTACAGATCACAGTTATCACTGACGAGCAGAAAATACTGGATATGTTTGTGTTTCAGTTAATATTTGGGCTTTATTTCTTTTTCCTCCCCTCGACAGTAATCTGGAATCCTTCTTGTATGGCCTGCATGCCCTATTTAAGGGTGACTTCCGTATATCTTCAATTAGAGATGAATGGATCTTTGCTGACATGGAATTGCTGAGGAAAGTAGTGGTTCCTGGAATACGGATGTCACTTAAGCTACATCAGGTGAGAGACTGCATGGGAAGATGTGTCCAGTTCTTTTTCTTTCTGTGCATTCGCTCTTTTAAAAATAAGTGATTGAGAGAGAGAAAAAAGAGGAAGAGAATAAAAGGGCATGTGGTAGAGATGGACAGCTGACAACAAGAGTCATGTTGTGTCCTTTGTTTTATTGTGGCTCATCTGGAAGGTGATACAGAGGAAGAGGGAGTGCAGTTTATGCTCAGAACTTGAAAATTACATCAAATGTAGATCAGAGAACACATCAAGCCCTGTTTCATATCCATCTAGAGATAATTCCCCTATGAACAGCCTTTCTGATGCCTTCCTTCCCTCTTCCCTTCCTGACACATCTGTAACTGCTTCAAAAGGCTGTTGTGCCATTCAAAGATGCACAGCCCTCTCCAGCTGTCCAATGGGAGTTGTTCTTGTTCTTTTTTCTTTGAAGGGCTGTAATAGCAGATACTTTGGGTGTAAGCCATTGTGCTGGCCGTGGCTGGGAGAGGGTTAACTTCCTTCATAGTGGTTATGTTTTGGATTTGTGCTGAGAATAACGTTGATGATACACTGATGTTACTGATCCCATCAGTAAGGTTTCAGGTAGGAATGAGAATGTTGCTTTTCAGTAAGCTGAAATTGAGGTTGGTCTTTATAGTGAGGTGAGGGTGAACATGAACAACCTCAATTCTGTCTAGTGCTTCTATTGACTAAATTCAGCAAGTACAAGAAAGCATGTCTGGAGTGATAAGCATGTGTGAGGAAGTGCTGGTACTGTAGAAGAACAGATTGAAAATCATAAAAAGTAGGCAAATCTGAGTTGCACTTCTCAAATAATAAATCAAGTTGCATTTTTTGCCTTTATTGCAGTCTAGAAATCCCCCAAAGCCTGCAGTGGTTCATTGGACTCCTTCATGTAACACAGACTCCCTGAATTTAGCAGAGTGCAGTTAAGTGTTAGGAGCACATGTCGCAAAGTAGAATAACTACAAAGTCATTGTTGAAACCAGCAGAAGTACGACTTCAACAGTCCTGAAGTGTTCTCGGTGATTTGAGTTACTGTGCGGAATAAGCTTGAATTAAGTCAGAGAATGAAAACTGAAGAAAATGCAGATCTCTAAACAATAAAATAACTTTTTTTTTCCTGAACATTATTTTATTAATCTTACAAAAGCTGGTTTTATTCACTCACGGTGCATTAGCATATTGAGGCTTCAGCCAGTGTTAGTTCTTAACCACTATCCTTTTTTAACTTAACCACTGCCCTTTTATAACTAAGATGTAATGTGACCTAATACCGAATTGAACTTGCAGATCTAGTGTTTCTGTTTAACTGGCAGTAATGAAGTTATGTGGTAGTATCTGATGCTGAAATAGTCTGTCATCAAGTATTAATGCGAACTTTTTAATAGAAAATACAGATAAACCTTGTTGTTTTTCTTCCTTTCACTCTTTTGATGTAATACAGTCTCGGGGAATAATCGGTGCTTTACTGAAGTGTGTTTTACAGTTGGAGACTTGTGAATAAAGCAGAGAAGCTAAAACTGAAATGTGTCTGCTGGCAATATAAATAGACATAAATCTAGTGTAATGCTGAACTAGAAATTCAGTTGAATCAGTAATAGGTCCTCCCAGTTTTGTTGTTGTGTTTACTTCCTTTTTTAACTTAAGTAAACAGAACTAATCTGTTGGAAAAGAGGTCATCTTTAACAACGTTCTTTAGTAGGTATCTGATATTTTTGACGTCTAACTTTGTGTGATGCACTGAGCCTTTAAAGAGTTAGAGGTGTGAAATGTTCAATTTGTTTTTTCCTATGTTGTTACATTTGAAATGTTTGCTGTATCTTATTGAACGTGTGTTCTTGGAAACAGGATCACTTCACTTCTCCAGATGAATATGATGATCCTTCTGTGCTTTATGAAGCCATAACAACCCATGAAGAAAATCTAGTTATAGCACACGAAGGGGACCCTGCTTGGCGGAGCGCGGTTCTTTCCAACTCCCCGTCTCTCCTTGCTCTGCGGCACGTGATGGATGATGGCACCAATGAATATAAAATTATTATGCTGAATAAGCGGTATCTCAGTTTCAGGGTCATTAAGGTAAGCTTCGTGCACGTTCCACAATGTGACAGTATGCTGTGGTATATTTTAGTAACGATACTAAACTGCTATATCCACTCAATTCATTACTTCTTTTGTTCCTGATCTGTCATAGCTAGACTGCTGCTTTTCATATAGTAGTAGTATTTAATCAGAAAATCACTTCCTGATTAAAATACCTTATTATTTGCTTTATTCTCACTGCTGTAGCCTGTGTCCGTAAATTCAGCCTTTTAAGAAAGTGAATATGCGTGCTTACAGTTCTGCAGTGCAATATCACATACACTTGTGAAAGCCTCGGTATAGCAAAGCACTCATCCCACACTCTCATTGTGTCCCTTTCTGACACAGCCTTTCTGCTTGGCTTTTGCAGGTGAATAAGGAGTGTGTGCGTGGCCTGTGGGCAGGGCAGCAGCAGGAGCTTGTCTTTCTGCGTAATCGTAATCCGGAAAGAGGAAGCATCCAAAACGCAAAACAGGCTCTGAGGAACATGATCAACTCCTCTTGTGACCAACCGATTGGATACCCAATCTACGTCTCACCTTTGACTACTTCCTATTCAGATAGTCATGAACAGCTTAAGGAGATCCTCGGGGGAGCTATCAGCTTAGGAAACATCAGAAACTTCATAGTGTCTACATGGCACAGGTGAGCTGAGGAAATGAGGTCTTTGGTATGTGCTCGTGCGTTCATATTCCATTAACTGGTCTTACACAGGCCCTTCACAGCATAATTTATAACAGTCAGTCACATGAGAATAAATAAGCATTGACTTTTTATTTCAGACACATCTGTAGCATATGGCAACTGCTTTGGTACAGGATTAATCTTCAAGGCATTTAAATAATACACCACTAACTATGTAAATGGGAACTCAGAAAAAACAGGACAGAAAGTCTAGACGCAAGATCTGCTTCTTCAGCTCTAATGTCAGGTCTGATAATGAGAGACAATGCAACTTCTGTATTATTTTTTTTAATATCATGACTTTTGCAGTCTATAATACCATCTTTACAGAATCAGGACTATTTGTTAGGGTTTCTGTGTGGCAAACACTTAGCATACAGGTGCTCATACTGATGTTGTATGGGTATGCTCATGCATAGTAACATGAGCTTTAGCTGTTACTCAGAATTTCATGAGTGCTTATAAATACCCTGCCAGAGCAAGTAACTGGAGTAATAATAACATGATCCTTCCACGTGACCCCTCAGTAACCCAGTAAAACTATTGCTGTGTTGTGTCTTATAGGCCATGAGAACTTTTACTGCACTTCCAGCCCCTTACAACTGTGGCTCCAAAAGCAGCAGTGGCAGCTGTGTGTGGCATTCAGAAGTGTGTGTCCTAGTTCCTGCTAGTTCCAGGAGCTGGTGCCATAGCTGTAGCGGTCCTGCAGCTCTTCTCATGGTCATACTTACACTTAGGCACCTACAGCACATTGAAACAGACCGTGCTGCTTCACCCCACAATATGCCACACTTACTACAGGCTGTGGTGTCTGTCTGCTCTCGCCATCTGCTCGTCTGACACGTGGATAGAATAGCAGGTGAAAGCATGACACAGAATAGGTTTTGGATCCAAGCTGTGTGTGTTTTGGGATTCTGGATCCTAGGGGCAAATAAAATTGGACAGGAGTACTCAGTGTATCTGAATGCAACAGAAAGAAAAGAAGAATAAAAGGTAGGAATTGGAAGAGGAATGTGCTGTGCTTTTTGTGTCCATCTGAAGTTTATTAATGCAACCAATGCGGTGAAAAGCCTGGATGTACACTGGGAAATGTTGGCTAACCCACTGTCTGAATGTTTAAAATTCCCATGAGAAGAATTTGGGATGAAAAGAACCGCAATATGTGCTTGAAACAACTGTGGGAACATTACTGAAGGTAACAAGAAACCAAATACATTAAAAAGAAAAAAAACCCCAACAAAATAAACTAACCCAAAAAACCCCACCAACGATCATTCTTTTGATGCTCATCTGAACAGACAGAGATTTTGCAGTACAGGAGTACCCATAATGCTGGTGTATTGAGGAGTATATTTTTTTACGAAAGTGTTACAAAATAACCAGGATGTTCTACCAGCATTTATATTTAGAATTTTATCTCTTTATTGTACTTCAGAGGTGGCTCTGTTTTTTCAAAAGCTATTTTATGTGAGCATTTGGCTTATCATAAATAATTGTTACTTGAACAGCTGTCATGAAGAAAATTGCAGTCGCTTAGAAAGCAGCATTTATACTTGCAAAGCATATTCTGAGAAAATAAAGTTAAGTTTTATCTGATTTTTAGGGAATGCTGTGGATTGTGCTGAGTAAAGCCTTTTGCTTGTCACCATTTCTTAGACTCCAGATGATAAGGAGGCCTGGCTTAATGTGTCCATTGCCTTACGTTTCAGACTAAGGAAAGGTTGTGGAGCTGGCTGCAATAGCGGTGGAAATATTGAAGATTCGGATGCTGGAGGTGGAGCTTCTTGCACCAGTAACAATGCAACTATCAACGAGTCGCAGAGCAGCATGTCGCAAGGAGGGGGGAACGCAACTACAGGGCAGGGACCTGGAGCAGTACAACACCCTCCTGTTGCAGCTCATCCCACAGCTCTTCCTGCAGCTCATCCACCAACTCATCCCTCCACTCTGGGTAAATTTAAAATGAAACAAAGCAGCAGTCTTATACAAGTACAATCCTATAGCCAGAACTGCCCTTTCAGCTCTTTGTGTCGGGCCTAAGTTAAAAGCAAAAGCAAACAGAAGTGATTTGGTTATGTGTTGTTAACACCTGCTGGATTCATCTCAAACTAGAGTGCTGTTTTCTGCAATGCAGAGTTCTCAAACAGATCTGAGCAATAAGGGTATAGTTGTGCTGGCATAAAAAGTTATTTAATCTATTTTAACACACCTCTACAGATTGGATCTTTTAACTTCTATTGTCTGCAAATGCTGAACATGTCATTGTTTTGTATGTCATTATTTCTTATTTATTTGGAGGAATGGATTCTCTCCTATTAAAGAGTCCATAGTGATGTGTAGTTTGGGAGGTGCTAAACAGTAAAGCTTAGAAAAAGCTTTCCAAGTGCTGCATTTGCTCACAGAGAATATGAAAGTGTACCTAGTTGAATGAACTGGGTTTTTTTACACGATGTGATTAGGTCCATCAGCTGTGGGAGAGGTATCTGCAAGTCCTTAGTAAGGAAGAGCAATGACACCAGTGCTCATAAACTGCAGTTCGTGTTTTTCACTTTGAGTGCATTAAATTTATTTGAATTCATTTTAAAACAGCTTTCGCTCTAACAAGTTTTCTGACTCGATCTTTGAACATGCAGTCAAGCATATTAAGAAAGAGGAGTATTTTGAACCATGGACGTCTCTACCTGCCTTAATGCTTTGAATATGGGAAAATAAGTGTTAATATTAAGAAACAAATTGTTAATGTGGAAAGAGCAAGGCTGAAGCATTTTCCAAGCTGCTTGTCTTGCAGGGATTGTGAATTGAAGAGAATGAGATTCCTAGATAAGATGCATGGAAGGTACTCAAATGCTCTGCTATGTGATATGTAACAGATCTTCTGCACTACAGCTGTTTCAGATGTTGTTGATTAGACCCATCAATTTTGTATCTAAGTTCTAAAACATTTGTGTATTGGAAATCTAATGTGTGTGGGAGGCTTCATTAAACTCTCCTGATTCTGTATCTTTTACTTTTAGGCACCAGTCACAGCTCTCACTCTGTGCAGTCGAGCCTTGTCAGACATTCCCCTGCCCGTGCCTCAGTAGCTAGCCATTCATCTTATTGCTACGGCAGTCGTCATTCATCTCTTCGCACATCCACAACAGGCTTTGTGCCTTGCCGGCGCTCTTCCACCAGTCAGATATCCCTTCGTAACCTCCCATCATCCATCCAGTCCCGCCTATCTATGGTGAACCAAATGGAACCTACTGGCCAGACTGGGGTCAGCACGCAGCATGGACTGCCTTCTTCTAGCAGCTCCAGCCAAAGCATCCCAGCCTGTAAACAACATGCCCTTGTGGGCTTTCTAGGGACAGAAGGAGGGAGTAATGCAACTGAAACTCAGTCAGGTGGTAATGCAAGCCCTGCAAATCAAATGCAAGCCAAAAAGGATGACGTTATTTACAGAATCCAGGTGAATAGTCCAGAAGAACAAGTTAACCTTTGCTTCCTATGCTTTTCTTAGTGTTACCTTGTATGTTGTTGAAATCGCTACCTTTGAATACATACGTAGCCTGGAATGTCTCAGTATACAATCATTGTGCACTTATGTTTGGAGAATTAATGTGAGGAAAAGGCTTTCTGGACAGCCAACCTTCCTGCATGCTTAGACGTCCCTGTTTACATTACTTACGTGGTTTTTCTGTAGTGCAGCTTTGAGAACGTCTGCTGAACTCAGTTCCACTTCATACTTAGTTTGCCTTTATTCATTCCAACATGTAAAGCTTCATTTTCAGGGCAGAAAGCAGCTAGCTTTTTTTCTTTTAAGCCAAGTAGATTTTTCCACAAAAGTAAGTGTAAAAATACTCACTTTCACTTCCAGATGTATTTACTCATTTTCATATGTACATGTTCTTTGGTTATTGCCACAAGTCTGGGTTTACTGACCAGCGAGTAGCTACGTTGACTGAGTTAATCATGACAGCCTTACTGGTTTTGTGGAAATTCAGAAAATTGTATTCTTGCTCTTCTAGCTTTTATTGGCCCTGCTAACCTGTCTTTGGCAGTGTATTAGTGGGAAACATCAAGAAGTGTATTCAGTAGGATAAATCATAACACACATGATTTCATTGCTGGTATCACCTCATTTTAGAGTAATCCTTAGTAAAGTGCATCATAGTGGGCAAAGTTAACAAATTAATCTTGCAGGTCCGTGCTTAGTAGCTTTTTTGGGCAGGAAAGGACCCTTTTGTGAAACTGCTCATTTATTCTGTGTAATGGTACAGGCAAAGTTGGCATGTCTCCTTGGATTGGGGACGTTGTGTGGTTCTGTTGTCCTTAGATAGGAAGAAGTTTTCAGGAGTTTTCTCCTGCTGCCCCTGTGGAAAAAGAGCAGTTTACCTCCAGACACAGGGTGGGACTCAACTACCCATGGTAGTAGATAGTTCTTCAGCCCAACAGTAAATTCTCCAAGACTGTTTCTTAAGATACTGTTTTGAGAAGTGATGAGTCAGTTTTAACAGCTTACCATCACTTGACTCATCCCTGCTACTGGACCATATGCTGCCAATGCTTATGTTGTGCCAGCTCCTCAGACCCTGCTATGAGCCAGTGTAACAACTGGAAGAAGGGGTGGGAAAGGGAACTAGAGCTGCTGCTTCAGACAGCAGTGAACTGGTATATTGTCAGCTGTGTCTGAAACCACAGCCTGATTTCTAAATTCTGTGCTGCTCAGGCTTTTTTTTCTACCCTGGAGCTTGAGTTTCCAATGTTGAAATTCATCAGAAGTGGATTTCTGTGGGTTTAAGTCAGTTCTCTGGAAGTGTGCAAAAGGTTACAATTTATCTGTTTCTTTTAAATTTTGGCTGAACTAACAGTCAAAACTCGATTCCTACTTATAGTTAATGGATCCCAGTCAAGTACTGGAAGGGATCAACGTGTCAAAAAGGAAAGAGCTGCAGTGGCCAGATGAGGTGATACGGCTAAAAGCTGGAAGAAACAGCTGGAAAGACTGGAGTCCTCAGGAAGGCATGGAAGGCCATGTAAGTTTTGCTTAGAAGTTGACAAGCTGATTGTAAAAACTGCAGTGTCTTGATTCTGTGGCAGTCTGCCTAGATGTCAAGGCCAAAGATACATAAGTTGGATCAGCAGCTGTCCTCCAAGTCTCTGTTTCTGGAAGAGCAGGTCTGGAATCCTAATTTGAAGCAGAGGGATATTTCTGCAACTGTATCCAAAAGATGCAGGATGATGACTCAAATGTAGTCAACCACCTCCCCTTCCTTGCCTTCTTCCAGCTCTTGTCATGAACTCTCAGGCATTGCGCTCATTCATCCAACCTTCATTTTCCTGACCTTAAACTGACAATCCTTGAGCAAATATGGAGGGTCAATTTACCTATGAGTCCTTAATTGAACGGTTAACAGTATTTGTTATTAAATTATTCTGATGAAAATAGAATCACAGAATGTTAGGAGTTGAAAGGGACCTCTGAAGATCACCCAGTCCAACCCCTGCCAGAGCAGGATCACCCAGACCAGGTCACACAGGAACAGGCGGGGTTTGGGTGTCTGCAGAGAAGGAGACTCCACAACCAAAGTTTGTCCTCATCTTCGGCTTGAACCTCCTGTGCTCCAGCTTGGGACCATTGCCCCTTGTCCTGCCTGGCATTGGACATCCCAGAGCAGAGCCTGGCTCCTTCCTCCTGACACTGCCCTTTCCCAATGGATCCCCAGGAATGAGGGCACCCCTCAGTCTCCTCTGCTCCAAGCTCCAGAGCCCCAGCTCCCTCAGCTGCTCCTCAGCAGGAGATGCTCCACTCCCTCCAGCATCTCTGTGACTCTTCACGACTCTTTCAAGCAGTTCCTGTCCTTCTTGATCTGAGGGCCCAGAACTGAACACAATATTCCAAATGCGGTCTCACCAGGGCAGAGCAGAGGTACAGGAGAACCTCTCTGCCCTACAACCACCCCTTCTCATCCACCCCAGGATGACGTTGGCCTTCTTGGCTCGTGGGCATCCTGCTGTCCACCAGGACCCCCAGGTCCCTTTCCACTGTGCTGCTTCCCAGCAGGTCAGTCCCCAACCTATACTGATACATGGGGTTGTTCTTTCCCGTATACGAGACCCTACACTTGCTTTGTGTTGTATTTCATTAAATTTCTACCTGCCCAGCTCTCCAGCCTGTCCAGGTCTCACTGGATGGCAGCACAGCCTCTGGAGTGTCAGCCACCCCTCCCAGTTTTGTGTCACCAGCAGACTTGCTGACAGTGCCCTCTGTTCCCTTGTCCAGGTTGTTGATGAATATATTGAATAGTACTGGTCCCAGTACGGACCCCTGGGGGACTCTGCTAGATACAGGCCTCCAGCTAAACTGTCCCATTGACCACAACTCTCTGACTTCTTTCCTTCAGCAAGTTCACAATCCACCTCACTACCTGATTGTCTAGACCACGCTTCCTCAGTTTAGCTGTGAGGATGCTATGGGAAACAGTGTCAAATGCTTTGCTGAAATCAAGATAAACCACATCCACTGCCCTACCATCGTCTGTCCACCTGGTTATGTCCTTGATTAAGATTGTCCGTAGATGTTTCTTTATTATACAACAGGTACATGATAGATGTTTCCTTTCCTTTAAGAAGGAGATCTGCTGTAACTAAAACTTGTGAAAGCCTATGACTTGAACCTCCGTCTCCCTTTTCCCTAGGCATGTTATATCTGCATTTTATAAAATTTCACTGCATTAGAAAACTTATCTCTCAATTTAGGCACTCTTTAGGAGAAAAAAAACCTCCAGCTCTATATAGTATAGTACTCTGTAGTATTCTTTCAGTGATGAATAGTAAAAGGGAATAGTCACTGCCATTGTGTCTGCATTGGTTCACCAATGCAACTCTCTTTTCATTTGGAATTTGTCAGTTCTGACAGTTTATAAGAATTTGCTTTGATTGACTGCTTACCTCACCTGAAGGCATTACTTCCAAATTAGATTCAGGGGGTGAATTTTGTTGTCTGAAAGTCCACATCCACATCAGTGTGGGTGTATGTGCAGACCTCGGGTAAGAAGCAGTGATACCCTGATAACACAGTGTGTGCCAAGTCTACCTTGATGTTACAGGTATGTGAAGGAAGGGCCTGTAAATAAATTCATTCTGTGAATAGTTGTATCATTGTTGATGATCCACTCTTAAGATAGTAGGGTTACCTTGTAGGTAGGCCATTGTAAACTTTCATAATTACATTCAGGTTAGGCTTTTGGAATTTCCTTGTTAGCTGTAGCAGATCAGGAATGTTGTAAAGATGGTGAATGCAGAGGGTTTTATTGAAACATGTCTTTTCTGCCTGGTATCATTGGACAGTTTTTTTCAGGAGTTCATGAATGCGTTTTGCAAATTGCAGCATGCTGACATGTGCAGTGATTGATGTTACAGCAAGATTAAAACAAGAGGATTTGAAGGTCAGCATAAGCTACTGTTCTGAATGCTTCTCATCTATTTTTGGTGCAGCGTACTGGCAGGGTTTTTTAGAAGAGCATCTTTTAACCTAAGAAGAAAGGGGAAAAGCACCAGATTATCCTACGTGTGATTAGGAGGAGAGGATTTAACTTGATGACATAGTTTCCACTGCATGCTTCAGCTGCCTGTGGTTACATACTAGTATCAGTAAAGCCATTAGCTCTTGGGATAGTCTTCCCTTTCTGATCCTGCAGCTGTGGTCCTTTCCGCAAACAGGCAGAAATTATTCTTGCCTGCCGAGTTGCTGCTCATCAGGCAGTTTACCAGCCAAAGCCTCGTGTCGGTGCTCTCCCTATGGAGTTCAGCTTCAGAGAATCACACATCCCAATACTGCCTATGTACCAGTAACTGTGGCCACATCCTGGGTGGCATATCAAGGGGAAGGAAACACTAGTCAAAAGCAGAAGTAAGCAAAGGAAGGATTGGAAGAGAATGGATTGGAAAACAAGAAGAAAGAGAAAATAGATTAGAAGAGCCAACCATGTTGTTCCTGGGGTTTGTGCATTGGGTATAGAATAGGGATTCAGGAGTAGAATTATGGCAAAAGTTTGGGAGTCATTGCACGGGGGGGCAGGAAGCAAGCGTGTGAGGTGTGTGTTCTGTATCCTGTTTCTTGATTAGTGTAAAGTAGAGAAACTTATTTTACTGTTGTGATGAGTTAAGAGTAGGATGTGTCAGACCTGCTGCTGGTGGTGTGACACTTACCTGTAATATCACCCTTAGATGAGTATTAACTAATGTCTGAGGGCGAATTTCTGAGCAGTACATCATCTCAGTTAATTTTCAACTGCATAGAAAAAAAGCTGTTTTTCCTAACTTTGCTCTTTATTTTGCTGAGAATACAGCACAGTTTATGTAATGCACAAAGATGTTACAGGGTTTCTTCAAGGAAATGAAATGGGGCAATACCACTTGTGTTGTATCTGCTTTTCTCAGGACTTTGAGATTAAGGTATACTCTGTATTATCTTTCTGCATTATCTGACACTGTCTGGTGGAAGAACCCTTTTACTTCCCAAGAGATTCTTACCCCTTCTTGACTATCTACTGACATCATTTTGCATGTTAATAGTGATTTATGGGCATCAAATAAATTCCAGTCACAATAGAACAGATGGCAAAACTGAACGTTGGGGGATGGTTGCTGCGAGTTATAATCTGTGTACAACTGGTGCATATGCACAGATTTTAAGGAGCCACACTATGGATGCCTTTGGAGTCAGCCCTTAGCTATCTCAAAGGCACCAGTTTTAAGTTGGACAACAAGGTTGTAGTACTTGGACTTTATTGAGAGATCTTTTACGTGTCTGGGAATAGAATATTCCTGGCCTCACTTTATACAGCAGCACAGGAAGTTTATTTGGACAAGCTTTCAAGTCAGACTTGAACAGACCACTTAAATATCATGCTGTTCCATCGAAAAAAGGGGAACAAAAGATGCCGTGCTTCCCTGTCTGAAATGCTCTCCAGTGAGTGTGGATGCAGTGTAGATCTCATGCAGTGGGCAAAGCTGGATCTCCTCCACTCAGTGTTGAGAGAAGTTGCCAGCTGGGTATGGTGAGGATTAAGGGGTTCTTTTGGATTTGATCTTGGAAGACGTAGATAACTCGTGGTTTTCTGTCCTTTTCTACCTCCTGTATCTTTAGAACTCTTGAAAACTGAACTGTCCTGGATATTGTAAAAACTAATTTTATTTGCTTTTTACCTTACCTTGTCTTGAATTTAAGGTTCTTTTCCCACAGTTGGCAATTTTGAGATAATTCTGTTTCTATGGAGCTGGCGATACTTAAAGCTGTGTTATTGGAGCATCCTTGTGGTTCCTTTTGGGCAGTCAGAACTTAAGGGTGTATCTTTGGTCATACAAGGTCCTGTGTGGAAAAGGGACCTTCTGATGTTCAATATCAGGCAGGCTCCTTGGAAGCAGAAGATCATAGTATCAGTTCTGTACATCCAAGGGAGTGCACTTTTTCTGAAGCCCTTCCTCTTTGTAATATTTTTTTTTTCACTTTAGATCATCTTTGAATAATTTAAATTAAAAGGTCAACCTCGAATTCACAGTGAGTAGGGGAAAAAAATTAGGGCAAAGGATTTGGCTTAGAGGAGACAGTTTATACCCAGCTCCTGATAAACTCCCGTGCTGTACTGTTTTGTACTGCAAAACACTGAGGTGTATTAAGACTCTTAATGCCAGAGCAGCAAAATATCCCAAATCCATGTCTGTACTTTTTTTTTTTTCAATTGTTAGTCACTTTGCATGAACTTGGTTCTGATTTGGGTCAAGTTGGTTGTTCCTGC